GAATAAGCTGCTCTTTCATTCCAAATCCATCAAATTTTATGTCTTCCCTCTCCTTGAAGTGATGGGTTTTTGGCTAGGACAAATTTTGTAGCTGAGCCTTTGCTGGTCTGGGCTGGAGTTCACTTTGAGAGTATAACCTTCCTCTACTTCTGATGCATGAGATTTGTATCAGAGTTAGGTTATCTGATGGGCAAACAAGTTCCCTCTCACTGAGCCTAGAGGGTGGACAAGCTATGCTAGATGAGGGTGAAGGGGAAATCCAGAATAATGATGAAGATAACTCCCCGAACCAGCTTCCCTTTCCTTCTCGCTCCAGGCAGTGAGAATGGTGCGCCGGGAGCACGAGAACGGCACTTTCACACGCTCCAGCAAGACAGAAGCTCTGCCCGCTGTACTGCTGAAGGGATGGATACCTATCAGTGCAGGAAGAAACACCTGCTTTTGCAAGAAGCTGCTGTCTGAGCAGGCAGCAACATCTCAAGAAAGAAAGAAAGAAAAAAAAAAAAAAAACTCAATGCATTGAAGTAGAACTGCAACACCTTCCTTTAGGCACAGCACATTCCTCTCCTCCCACCACTCTCCATGAACCCAGACCATGTGTTTGGAGGACACACGGCAAAACTGTCCTTTGGGGCAGACCTGCAACTTTCCATGCATGTATAAGAAGTCTTCTACATGACTTCTTATAAGGTATTTCACCTACCCTTGCAACCTCCTGGGGGCAGAGGCTCAGTTACCTTCTCCAGAGGAGTTTGGGAGGCTCTGGGAAAAATAGCACCTGCAGTGAGGAGTTCAGGAATTCATCCATTCAGAAATCACACCACACATCCCCAGTGCTGCAGAACTGCCTTAAAAAAAAAAGTCATACTGTTCCCAGATAAATCCAGTCTGTTTTGAGCTGGCCCTTGGATTTCAGCTTTGGCATTGTGGTTTGTAACATTTTCTCTACAACAGAGTATTTTCCCTGCAGATCAACAGGCTTACAAAATCACAAGTGCTGAGGCTTTGGACTCTGTTTCATGAGAGTCCAAAAGTGGTGAGAAAGCAAGCAGTAACATGGACCAAACATATAAGAAATCCAGCTGATTTCCATGAAACTAATTAATGTGTGGCAATGACTGAGTTACCATGAAATAATATGTATTATAGCTATATGCATGCAGCATCAGTATTCAACTGATCTTTAGTCATTTATCGATTACTAAATAATTAACTTTTACCACCAATATGCTTTTGATTAATCATACTTTCCATAACAGTTGGAAGTGGATCAGACCACAAAACATCAATATGGAAAAGTTTTCCAGTGCTTTGCATTTTCTTCTGAGATGAATGGGATAGATTAACTGCTTTCTCAGCGACAGGATTCATTATTTGGATGGATGAGAGTTGTTTAGATCACATTCCAGCCTCCTGCCATGGGCAAAGACACCTCCCACCAGCCCAAGCTGCCTAAAGCCCCATCCAGCCTGGCCTTGAACTCCTCCAGGAATGGGGCATCCACAGCTTCTCCGGACAACCCACGCCAATGCCTGCTGGTCAGACCTAGCAACGCACAGTCCAGCTGATAAAAGGCTGCTCGTTGTATCAGCATTCCCTGTCCGTCCCAGGGCCTCCAGGTTGTCCAGATCTATACCAAATGCTGGAAAAACTTCTAGCTTCCTGAAAACTTCCTCCTGCACGTTGCAAAGGATTGGAGTTTTCCTGCAATAGACGAGCAGATCGTTTAACAACTATACTTTTGCCATTCCAACTTGATATGCTGTCTTATTCCTCTGGCACGTAATGGAAATTTGGTTAGTAACTTGGAGAAACAAAGTCTCTTCTCCTAAGGACCATTTCCAACAGCAATGTCCATGCCATCCCTTATGACACTAATAATTAGGAGCAGACCAGCCTTATCACAGGAGTTGAGATCTAGCTAGAAACTGTTGATGATATGACTTGACCCACAAAGAACCAAAACGGTTGCAGATGGAGCAGACTTTCCATTTTCATGTGGTTTCTTTTACAAGTTCGTAAGAGAAATATTAATAGCACACTAATGGTAGCAATTACTATAATGAATGTAACAGCTGGTACCAGCAGCTGAGCATACGTTTCAGTTTTATACTTTTCATGTATGGTGTGAGGTGGCTCTGAGCACTTACAATCACAGTCTCGCACTTTTCCTCCCTGAGGATTCTATTTTCAGCATGCCCATGCTTGTGGCTATAGGATGGAGAGCTACCACTGTAAATAAGTCACCCCTCAGGATGTTATTTGCACTCTAAGAAACACAACACGTAGCATGTTCAAAGTAGACCCGATATGGTCAGTCTCTCAGTCTGCTCCAGTATTCTCTGCGAGTGGGGTATCACCATCAAAGCAAGCGTCTTTCAGTCGTGTGTCAAACAGTTTTTTCCTCCTCTTCCTAAAGAGAAAAACAGGCAGAGGAACTGCTGCAGTAGAAACACGAAGCAAGAACTAATCCTGCTCACTTGGAAACATTTACATACAAAATGCAAGTCTGGGCTCCCAAGGCTGCCACCCACCTGCTCTGCCTCTGAACAGACTCTGTGAAAGTAAATGAAACAGAAATGTAGCCCAGACACTAAGAAAAGTTAGAAAGAAAATAAGAAAATTGTTCTGGCCCATCTTCTCTCAGGTTATAGTCAGAATTTTAATTAGGGATTAATTAGGCTCCTGCTCTGCAGGACATGGGCATCTAGTAGCCATTTGAATGACGGGTTTTAGTCAAACTCGTATGATAATGCCAACCTCCTCAAGAGCAGTTCAGCTCAGGGCTTTACCTCCAAACTCCCCAACCCTGCCAAGTTTGGCATTTGACATTCCTGTTTTAAACTTGGAATTCAAGCCTATTCAAATGCTTGGCAGTCTCGATAAGCTTTTCCTGCTAACAGTCTAGGAACTCAGGAGCCTGAGGCACTCCCAAGCTTCTGCAAAAACATGCAGGGATTGAACCGCATACAGGAAACAAAGGAAGCATGAAAAGTGGGAGCATTTCTGGGATTCACTTCGCATGGTGTTAAAACCTAAAAGGGTACAATGACCATGTCCATCATCTGTTCAAGTACTGAACATTCAAGGCTAATGTTTATTGAATCAGTGAAGTCTTTCCTGCCCTAAGATAGGAAATTGCAGATTCCTCTTTAAATCAAGCCTCAGACTGCTATCCAATCGATCAAAATACAACAGAAGTACTTTAATTTGTTTCTCCTGAAGAGCTACATCTTCCAAAATTACCTTGAATCTTTCTCAGTATAAAACACTTCCAGAATTCATCAAGTACCTAGACTGAAGACAGCATCTATTACCACATTTGGAGTTACCTTCTTGGAAGCTTAAGTTAAATTTGATTCCCTTGGCCCCATCTTCTAAACCAAGGGTACTGGTTACTTCATGCGTTTGGTTTGAAGGCCTATTCCAGCGTACAGTGCCATTATGAAATGTAATGACTGCATTTTTATATCTCCTCTCTGTGAAATTGCATGGGGTGTGAGCAACAAAAGTTTTACGTTTAAGCTTCATGCCTATTCAGCAGGACGTTATGCAGTAATCCTCAATGTCAAAAAGAGGGAAAAGAATGTAAGAGGCAGAGAGTAGAGAATACACCAAGATAGTTGCTGAAGGGAAATTAATTTCTGAGAAGCAACAGAAGACAAATACCTTTTCTCTATTTCTATACAGCATTAGGATCTTTTCTGTTCTGAGATTGCTGGAAAGCAAATCTCAAAGTACAAGGCTCAGAGGAAAACAAAGACACGTAGCATATCCAGTGAGGTCTGCAAAAAACAAAGGGACAACTTAAAGGCAATCTGTCAGCGTAATAGCAAGGCAGGCACAGTTGCTGACTTCAGCGAGGAAGCAGACAGCTGCATTTTGAACAAATGAGAAGCCCTGGAGAAGTGTTGCTGGCAGCTGTGTTAGAAGGGCATTAAAATAATAAAATCCTGCAGTCACAAGGGCAAGTGTTGCAGATACAGGTGAGTCATGGACTATTTCAGGACACAGGTTTTTGAACCTCAGAACTCTCAGGGACACCTACAACGTGGCCTCACATGTCTCTCTGTGGGAAACACATGATCAAAGAGAGACATCCTCAGATGACTCAGTTACCACAGTATCATTTTTAGACACCTTTCTCTGCTTTGCTTAATGCCAAACAAATGTCAATGAAAAGCAATGCAGAAGGCCCTATTTCTGCTCAAATTGATGAGCACCAGGTTGGTGGTCCTAGAAAGCGTTGCTGCCATCGGTATGTCAAAGCCTGCATTTAAAACAAAAAAAAACAGAAGACTGAGTTTTTGTTCAGATTCTAGAATATCACCCAAAACGAAAGGGAGGGTACAACCCCACTACAAAATCGTGGTAAAAGCTGTACAACAACAGCAGGTATTCTGACAAGTCTTATGTCCTTGGCACAGTATGAAAACAAACCAATACATACACAATGAATAGTAAAATGACAAAAATGCACTTGACTTACTGGAAAATTATATGTGTTTCAAGATGATTCTGCGTGGTGTTTTCTTTTGTATATTAAAAAGTACCAGCCATAGCACAAACGTCTATGTCATGGACAACTGTCTGACTGCGTTGTTACAGGATTTTGCTATTCATTTAATGCCAAAAAGGAGCTGGCTTGCAGTCCAGATAGCGTGTCATCCTTTTTACACCCCATTATCTGCACAACACCGGTATCAAAGTCTAGTGGATAGGCACCAGACAGTGCTTCAGGGCACCTGGATTCTTCCTGTGGCTCAGCCACCAGCTGACACTGACCCTGAACAAGTTTTTCATCCTTATTTTGTCCTTTTCATTCATGCGGGATCAAGCTGGTCTCTACCAGAGAAAAAAAAAAAAAAAACGACCTTGAAAGATTGCAAGGGAGAGAACAGAGAGAGATGCAAATGCCAGAGACTTCAGCATTGATACTGTTGTCCCAGGTACACCATGAATATTTCAGGCAATCCTCATTTGTTTATGTTCTGTTCCAGGCTTATTCCTGCCCTGGCTGATGTTTTAGCTGCTGAAAGTCTCTGCTGAACCTAGACCTCAAGGGACTGCCTGGGGGTTAAATGCTAAGGTATATTCTTGAAGGTGTAAATCTTTAATTTATTTTCTAGCCTCTGACACAAAGAAGGCACTTTTCCAAAGCAATTACAATGAATATATCACCCCAGAAACCTACCACCGAGGGAACAGTAGGTAGGAGGATACATTCTTGGCCCTTAATGCCGCCACCACCAACACCTGTATGACTGGCCATTCCACCCTCTATTTAAAAGAGGGAAAAAAAAAGTGGGGACACAAGTTCTCTCACTTTTTGGAGACAGAAACTTTTGTTGTACTGTGGCCCCCATATAGTTGCGCCTTTTAATATAAGCTGCAGTTTAAAACTACAGATCTTCGGTTTTGTTCAGTTGATTACTCCCCCTGCCCTGCCATGTCTGCTGCTCTGCGTGCCACAACCAAGTTTTGCCATGTTGAAAGACACTGTCCAGGAGAACCAACCAACCCAAAAATAAAACCTCTCCCAAGATAAAAACACCAAGTCTTTAGTCTTGATACAAGAAGTCGCTGGGTGGTACATGTAGCCTGCACTTAGATTTCAGCACTCCTTGTGAGTGTTTGTCCTTTACATCACTGTCAGACAGACCCCTCAAAGAGAACATTCTGACCTTGCTATAAGATGACCTTGCTTTTTTTTTTTTCTTCAGTATATTATTTTCCTCCTTGCACAGCCAATTTTGCCATTTCATTTGGTCAATGAACTCTCATATCCTTTTCCTTCACTCCCACCACTTCTGCAGGAGCCAAAAACACACAAACTACGACTGGACAGTGGTTATTTAAATCATTAAAGCTGGATTTCAGTTAATTTTGTAAAATATGATCCAAAAGTGTAAAGTGGCTCTCTAATTAATAGAGAGAAACAACACTGTATCGTTATTATTATTCATCTATTCCGTCAATAGCAAAGCTCTTGAGCTTTGTGTGTGAACGATTATGTCCCTAATATCATGACTCGCATTTTTAAGCACAGTGTCTTAGCTTCAGACTCTTAAAAAATAGGCTGTGTCAGGTAATTTGCTGTAGGCTCCCTAGTGTAAAGACGATCTTTGTTTTTACTGTATGTTTTCACAAAGAACCTCCTTATTTTTGCACTCAACATTTACAGTGTTTATGTGACTTAAGAAATAATGTTACTGCCTACAGGCAATCCTGTCTGAGCTACCCTCAGTGACCCACTGAATACACTGTCCCTCAGAAAGTCCTCTAACATCCATACGCAAACACACACAAGTAACTTTGCATCACCACTTAAGACAAAAACAACCTTGTACCACCTACAGAAATAGCACCAGCTACTGAAGGAAAGCAATTTGCAAGCTGTTTTCAGAGTATATTTCTTCTGGATATACAGCTGCTTTCAACCTCTGCTGACAGCGATGCCTTGACACACTGCTCAGGGCTCTCTGGATGTCTGGGCTACATATTTTCTTCTTCATCGAGGTGAAGACTGTACAATGTCACGTAGCAATTTAAGAACAGAGTGTTTTTAGCAAGGTTACCTCTAAAGGCATTGGAGGTTGGCAAATATCAGCCAGGATCTTGAACATGCTTCAGAGAAAAGACAGCACAGCAGCTTTGAGTGTACCCAGTTTGACGAGGGACTGAACTGGAAGCCCAGCTGATTCTTTACTTCAGAGTTTCATCGTGCAATTTACCCACTCCCCCAAAATCACCAATGGAAAAAAAAACGTAGCGTTGTTTCTAAACTAAGTGCTTATTGATGTCTTAGTAACACTAGTCTGTTTTTGTAAAGCAGCAGCTTAATGACCGTTCACAGTCAGCCTGCAGAAGCTGGAGAGGAGGATGGCAGTAAAAACCCCAAGAGCTCAAATGTCAAGGAGCACTTCTGCTTTCAGGACACTTCTCTGAGCTGTGCCGTGTCTTTGTTGCAGCCAGCATGGAACAGCACTGAAGTCCACAGGACCACTTATCTTGGAAATAAGAACATGACCCACATTCTGCCCTGTTATTCAGGAAGAAATCTCACTAGGAAGCCTACTGAAATCAATAAACTTCTTCCAGATTTACACAGAGATAACAGGGATTAGAATTTCTTCCCGTAGCATATGTTTTCAGCAATGACAATATGGATAGTCTCATATACAAATATCTGACTTGCTAAAGTGAAGTTCAGCAATGCCAGGTGTGTTATTTTGGTATTTAAGTGTTTTAGAAGCAGGGTAATTATTTAGCCCATTGCATTCAAAATGTTTCCGTGCCCTTGTGCTTCCCAACAACAACTTAGTAAGGTGCAGAGATCCTTTGCAAGGCAGCAAGCTCCTGCAAATACAGAACCCCAAAACCACTGGAGTAGGAAGAGCTGTATCTTGCATGTTGTGGTAATGACTATAATTGAGGCACTGCCATCATTATTTTTTTTTTTTTGCCTTTACTTACATTTTTGAATGGGTTATTACTAAATATTATGGACAGTACAATATTACAGCAAGACTGGAGGTGGCAATCACTGTGGATCTTTTCAATATCAATTTAATTTAAGCAAGAAATCTAACTTGCATGGAATATTGTATTATTTTTCTAGAAACACAGACCTTCTGCCATGGATTTGCAGAATCCAACTGCAAGAATGCCTTCCCCTGAAAATTATCGTTTTAATTGTGTTCCAGTGACTTAATATTTACGCATTTAGAAAGTAAGTGCTGTGGCATTTCAAAAGGCTCCTGTGAATGGCAAGCTGACAAGTGCTTGCATATCATTCCAAGCAGAACTACTTCATATTGTTCTGCTGACTATAACAGCTATAATTACTCTTTTATTCAAAATGCTCAACATGTTTCAAGATACAATACAAAATCTTCCCATAGTGTTCTTAGGAGTCTGCTTTCCACTGAAGAGTAGATCCTGAAGCAGTGGAACATGTAAATTAACACTATGCCAAGAGCTGCCCCAAATAAACATCACCCCGTTGTTTGCAGTTAATTTGGCTCAGTCTGACAACACTCAGCTATCAGCCTGCTGTGTACTGACCTTACAGAGAGCGAGGTAGCAGTGCAACAAGCTGTTGACTGTGCTTAGACAAACAAAGTTATCTATCATACTGGGCTCTTGCTTGCTTTTTTCAGCGTGCTTACTGTAGGTCTGTGTTTACCTACTGGTAAACCCGAGCATTTAGTCACTCTACTCGTTGTTTCTTTGTTCCAGTTTGTGCTTGGAGAAAACCAATGCTCTAAAACCTCTTTGGTGTTTTAAAGTCACTCAGAAGCTCACAGGGAGTTCATCCCTGAAACTGGTGTAAATATTACTGCTTGCTTCACAGAGCCAAGAATTTCATTTCTGGTCTGTTGATTTCCTGTTAAAGGCTCATTACAAGTTTCTGCTGCTTGCATTAGCGTTAGAAAAATACTTAATTGTTTCTGCTTAAAAACAGTCACCCCGTGTAAATCAAGCATAGGAACACAAATCGTATAGACTAACATTTTTCAGAAATAAATTTGTAACCAGGCTTTTAGATCAATTTAACATAGAATAAAAATCTCATACAAACACAACGATGGAGCCATCTCTTCAATGTCAGAGCTGCCCATTCAGGCTGCAAATGTGAGCCATAGAATATTTTTCTGAAATGAATTTCTGCTATTACTTACACTAACAATTACACTCCTATGATTATAACTCAGTAAAGTTGCAAAAAAACAAACAAACAAACAAAAAACACTTGTGGAGGAGGGAGCCAATAGATGGTTTGAAATTAAAAGGAATGAAAGAACGTAAAACATAAATGCTGTTTCCTCAACAATTCAAACATGTTGCACCCATATTTTGAATACTGAGCACAGTCCTTGTCCTTCCATTCCCAGAAGGACATTGCAGACTAGAAAAGATACAGAAAGGGAAACAAAAGCAAAAGTATAGAATGTTTTCTAAGGAAAATATATACACAGGCTTCTTCAACATGGAAAAAAAGAGAGCTGAGGCTGGCACAAGAACAAGGTTTGCTAACTGTAATTGCTATGGAAAAGATGAGTGGGGAAGGAGTGCGTACTTTAAGCTGCTTCTAGTGCTGGGGAGATACTGGTGGCACTGCTTGCCTTGGGATACGATGAATGCTACCTAAAATCTTACTCACGTTCAAAAGCTGGTTAGAGAAATGACAGGAGAATCCACAAAGCTGCTGCCTCTGGTTCAGAAGTGCCTAAGGGGCAAATCACTGGAAGCTAAAAACATTACAGCATGCCATGAGCAGTCCAGCACACACCTTCTGCCACTGTGCGCTTTCCACTCATCTGCTCTGGGCACCGCTGGTGACAGAGGGGACTCGGTGCATCCCTGGGCAAAACACTGCATAGCCTCCTTGCAACCACTTCCCACCAGTTGTTCAGGTAAAGAAACTTATTTCCAATTCCCTGAAGAACCTCAAAGCACCTTACAAACTGTGAGACAAACCCTCACCAGCCTGCCAAAGCTAGTATTTCATTCCCAGGCACGTACAATTCCCCTCCTTGGGCAAGCCCTGTCAGTAGAAAGTGTAAGAAAGGATCATTTTGGCACATCACTCCAAGATGTTTACTTGCACACCAAAGAACCACACCAAGAGATTTTTGCTCTGTCATAACAGAAGAGAAATATTTGATTTGAAAGATGCTAGATCTTTTTCTGATCTGTCTCTGGAAGTCTGATTAAGAAAAAAAAATAATCTTTGACGTATCGCAAAGGCCTCACTGAATCCTGAAAACAGTGAGAGACAGCTGTGAAAAATGTATATATCTGAGACTGATTTCATGCCCTTCTCAGAGCATGTCATAGCGAAGCAAAGTGCAGAATTCTTCCTATCTCACTGTAAAACAAAACAAAACTCCAAACCAGCAAGAACAACAAACCAAATTTGCTCATTTTCCCCTCTACAAAAAATGTTGCTTTAATATTTGAAAAATGGGTTGAGTCCTGATAGAAATGAGTCATTGCAAGTAGATGTCTAAAAATTGTTCACCACTGTCAATAGCATATTAATATTTCAATTATTTTATTCAAGTGCATCAAACACTTATTTGTATACTCCAATGCTTTTCAGTGGCCTGTCCATTTTAAAACCTGTCTACTTTAAGCTCAGTATTTTGTATTCTTGCCACACTAAGCAATCCAGGTGGGTGCTTAAGACGCTAAAAAGCTTTCAAAAATACCAAGTTTCATTAATTTCTGTGCTCCCCATTTATCACTGCCAGGCTGCAAAAAGGAACAGGAGCAAAAGAAAAAGTGTATGGCACAGAAGATCTAAGGGTTGCTTGCAAGTTTTTCCCCCCTCCTCCCCAAATCTACCACAGCTATAAAAGTGAATTAAGTGGCCTGATTACCTTCTAGAGATACAGTAATCTATTTAGCAAATTAAAATGATACACACCTAATAAAAAGAATACGTTCAGCAAGATCAATGTTATAGAAGATTGTCATGCAAAAACTGTCCCTCAAGACAATTAAAATAAAAATACTTTCTCCATTCCCAGCAATGCTTCATTTAATTTTCTTGCAGGTCAAGGTAGCCTAATTAGCTCTAAATAAGGAACACCCAAAAGAATTTGTTCTATCATACATTTTTTTAAAGCCTTTAAACATGTGGTTCATTGAACTGAAGTCAGAGTTGTTTGAAATTCAGACTGTTTTGGTGTTCATGATATTGCCCTTTCCCTCAGACAGAAAGGTGTACCGTGTACCAGCTCTCATAACACTTCAGCTCCCAGCTGATGTAATTTTTTTTTTTAAAGTCTGTCTTGGTTTAAGCCCATTGAATAAATATTTCTGTGATGTGTTTTAATTGCACATCCTTCAACACGCCCTTTGCCCGATGAAGCACCATCAGATGGCACATCAGAAAACCAGGCTGAATGCCAAACAGACAAAAGCATTTTTGGTGCCTGAGTGAAATCACCACAGTACTTCAAATCTCGAGGTTTCTTCTGGAGAAGCAGCAAACAGGAGTTCCCTCACCTTGCATGCATGACCTTGGTGTTACACAAGTGCTGCCAAGGGCTCTGCTTTTCTCTGCAAAAGCACCTAGTTGTCAGAAATATTCAGAGGTTCCGTAAGAAGCAAAGAAACAACAGAAGCCCACCCCACATCCTAGTCACCTGGGGCAAGGTATCTACGAAGCTGACCCTAGCAATCTTTGCAATCATGACTGCTGGTTAAGTAGGGCTGCTAGTTAAGGACAAAAATGTGGACACAAAGATGAGCCGAGTTCTTCTCCGTTTGCCAAAGGTATCTACAAAATTCAGATGTGTGCTATTTCAGGCAATGTTCACACAAAAATGTATACATTGGAAAAAAAAATAGTAGTTTCTGTCTACTGATGCCTGTGGATCAAAAAGAGGCACCAGCACGACAGAACTATTATTTCACATTCATAAAATACATCTAGAGGCATGATCCAAGAACCAATAAACCAGTGGTAGTTAAATTGGTATCTTCTAGCTCAGGCATCATCATGCAAATAAGCAAACGCTATATTTTAGTACTTGTGAAATGCTGACATGCATACATAAATCAGGAATCATTTGCCAAGCTGTTCTCATGCTCTTTCATTTTAAAGTGGCAAGAGCCCAATCTAGACAATTGTACAGCAAATGTCATTGGCCACAGTTAATACTGAATGTTTTCGTACAGTATTTTGAAAAACCTGAATATCAACCAAAGAATGCCTTTAACTCCAAAAGCTTGGTAGGTTTTGGAGATAGCATACTGACAGAAAGAAAACCAAATGAAGCATCTTGAAAAATGAGACAGGCTTTTGACGGTAATTTTGCATGTATTCCTGTATGGTGCTACTGGCTATTACTGGTTCGTAAGGAGACAAATCAGAAATAATTATTGGGAATCTTCCGTGGTTTTCTTTATACACTTTCTTTTAAAGGATTCCCCATAGATTAAGTAATTAACATTTTTTTTGTAAGGGTGCTAATTCTTGCAAATTATAACAATGAAAATAAGTGTTTACACCCTTTGGTTATAATTCAGCTGATAGTGATCTGTAAATTTGGATATTCTTTAAGGTGCTTTTATTCTCTGCACAGTCACTATTTCAGCAGGAGGATTATAGTTTGTTCTAATAATTACAGGCAAGAATGAAACTCAAGAATAAAAGGTCAGATCAGCCAATTATTGAATATCTCTATTTTTCTGAAATCTACATAGGGGAAAAATAAAGTAGAAATAATAACTTCCAGACTAAATTCCCATTATTGTCCTACCTTCTAAACCTCTAGAAGCTACATTTTTAGATATTGCCTGAAGCTGCATAAACGAAGTATATACAGAAAAAAGACTTCTTCCTGCTCTACAGCGCAGCACCACTTTGCTATATTCTTAGATGAATAAAATTATAGAAACTATACAGCTTGATTTTCCCAAGTACAGCATGGATTAGAATGTCCGAGATAAAATTTTCCCTTGCAGTAGTTCAGTGTTGGTAGACTTTGCAGTTTGCAACCCAGCAGACAGAAATTCTACTATTCCACTAACTTCTTTTACCAATATTGCATTTCTAACTGAGCACAATCAAACCTCTCCAAGTTTCCTGGTAGGGTGAACGAAAGATCTCTTAATATGGCTCTACTCAAGATGATTGTAGCAGTGCTAGGAATACCCTAAGTTATGGGTTAAACACCCGTAGATTGTCACCAGGTGGGCAGATGTCCATCACACCTATGTCTGGAGTAGCATCTGCAGCTGGTTTCTAGGCACATACATACTACCTTGTCTTGGAGCAATAGCCTGGGGGGTGTCCAGACACAGCATTTGCCACTGTCTTAGGTAAAACAAGTTAATCTGCAATTAATTAACTGGCATTGACACAGAACTACAACGCGTATATTAGGTGTTCCGTAAAAACAGAAAACATCTCAGTAGCACACGAAAGTCTCTGGTGACCTTGGCTGTATCTGAAAGCTCAGACATTGTAGAGATGGCTTCAGCCGTGGTCAGCTTTGCTTTCTCCATCACCTCTGGCCACTGAGCCTGACCGGTGAAGGCAGAGGTTTGGGCCGGACAGCCACGCGTTCGCAGCCCTGGGCCACCCAGTTTTCCTGCTTTGCTGGCTCCATTTTCTTGGCGCCAGTGCAACTGCTTGCTACAACAAACATCGAACGATTAGGTTAAGCAAAAATAAAAGCAGCACAAGCAGAAATGTAAACATTTCCAACAGGAGGTTTAAAAAAAACCCTGCAGCTCTGTATTTCTATAGGAGGCTTATGCATTTGCCTCGTTTCTTTGAATCAAAACATTCTCACCTAATGTATTTAAGATTGCTTTGGGATTACTTAGTTAAGGTCATGTTTTAGAAAATGCTAAGAGCTGTCACCAGAACTAGATGAAGAGTATTTATAGAAAACAATTTTAATACACTTGGAAAAATAGAGACAACTTAGGAGAGATGCGAAGAAACCTGAATAGGAACAGATCTTTTGAATCCAGAAAAGACTAAATAGTTTTATCTGTCTTTTCTTACATACATCTGTTTCAGGTAGACATTAAAAAATATTATTTTTTTTCATTAATAACAAAAATATATAAACAAGAGAGTCATGAATTTCCATTATCGTCCAGCTTATGCAAAAAGGATAATAGATTAGTAACAAGATTTTAACTTGAACAGAAACAGGACTCAATAAATTTAGTCTCATTCTCCTCCTTTCTTTTTCCCAGTCCCATTATCCTTTCCATTAACTTTAATCACCACGTTTAAACTGATAGTAGCCAAATCAACTTCTTTACTGATACTTCTTAATAACCACATTCAACCTCATCCTTGCTATTTGCTTATCTCTCCAGCTGCAGTTCTTCCAGTTCCACATTGTCTGCAGAGAGCTTCTCACATAGCGCTTTCTGAATAAGCACATAAAGCTCTTTATCCCCATGCTACACCTTCCCCTTGTCTAGCCTAGCTGGATCTCTTTTCCCACTCCTCTTTCACTGATACAGACCCTTCCGTCTGTGACAGCATTCCCGACTCACTTACCTTCATTGACTCCATCTTGCTTGAAGCTTCAGATGAATTTCTTTTAACCCTTAATCATAGGTTGGTCACCATTAAATTAAAAAAGCAGATTAGGGCTTTTAAAACGTTCCTTTAGTACTCAACCGAGAGATGCCATTATCAAATTAAGTTGTACGTTTAGTTTTTGGGGTAGCTAGCAAGTTATTTAAGCAGGAATAAATTCTCAAAGTTCTCAAGCCTAAAGAAGAAAGTGAAAGAATGTCAATACTGCTTCCAGTGCCAAAAATAAAGTGGTTAAATGGCTGAGAAAGGCCAGATGACAGAGGGCCCACTGCCACTTCCCCAAGCCATCAGCTTTACACTTAACATCACCCCCCACAATCTCTCGCTGTTTCTCACTCCAAGCTTTTCCCTCAGTTCATTAAAAGGTCCATTCAATAACCTGACACAAGGCATATTTTTTATCTTTAAGGATATTCTCAGGCAGTGTGAGGGCCTCATCCGATTCTCCACATCAAAACTAAGTACGCATTGCTAGCAGAGACTACTAGAAATTTCTTGTAACAGTTTAGTCAAAGGAAACCATTTTCAAATCAGCTGAAAACAGACGAGATGTATAAAAGGATTCAGGACATTTGAAAGAAGTAGTATCATTTAGGTAATATTTTCAGGTGGTGGATAATGGAGTTTCCATTACAGAAGAGCTGTCATCACACTTCTTTTTGAAATAAATAGGATGTGATTGACAGTTTGCTAACAGTCCTATTGCCACAAAGCAGAAGCAAATTCTGAATGCAACTATTTTCACAATCTGACTGTAATTTAGCTATGCTGATTACAATACCAGATATATATATTATTTTTTTTAATATATAATTATTTTTTTTTTTTGTAGAAAGACAATTTAAGGCACAGACAGGCTTTGAATTCCAAACAGCTGGTAATTGGCCTCGGGCTACAACACAGCCTGGTAATTCATTCTAAGTTTTAAATCCACAGTTATGACTAAGAAGAGACCAGGCTTATGCATGGAAACAGCTCAACACCCATCACAGCGTGAGCTGACCACACATTTGGACATGGCACTGCATGGCATGCAGTGACTCCCACTGACCCCACATATTGATTAGCTCCCACACAGCCTGCCCACCTTTGCAGTCCAGCTGGACCATCGTCCCAGTAATAAACCTCTAGGCAAGCCAGACTGAATTTTGAAGCCAGTCTCAGTGTCCCCTGCTGGTCTGGCTGAAAGAGGTTTGAGATAAAATCTATTTTTTCAGCCAGCAGAATTTATTCTACAGGAGCAAGAAAAAGTATCTTCTATGTCCTGTTCGTGTCTATGGGATACAGTGGGAAAATCCTCTCTTCACAGAGCAATTGGGCTGAATCTCTTCTACCCTTCTTGCAAAGCATAGGC